TGATGTTTGAGGGGGAAGCGAGACGGTGGAGAAGACGGTCCTCGAAACCGAACATGGGCGCAGGGCGAACAATGGTGGTCTCTGGGTAGATGGAGCGTGCTACTTGCTCACCCTGAGCCTTGGTGCGGTAGAACTCGGATGGTGAATCCAAGCGTGCGCTGTGAGATGAGACATGAACAAATCTGTCAATGTCGTACTTGGCGACAGCATCCACGATGCGCTCTGTGCCGTGGACGTGTACGTCCTCCAGGTCAAAGTTCTTGGTGGGGTAGTCGCGACCAATGAGGTTGTAGACAATGTCAGAGTGTCGCACGCTCTCTTCGATGGACGCAGTGTTTCGGAGGTCCATCTCGACGAAGATGACTCTGCCCAAGTCTCCGGCGACCTTCAAGTGACGCTTTGCCATCTCCTCGCGGAAGGGGACTACCACTGTACATCCTGAACGGGCTGTTCGTGCTGTTAGCGCAATGCACTCTGGCTTTCCAATGACGTGCACACACCCAATCGGTTCACAATGTATCGTCCTAGAAATCCAGTAGCTCCGAAAACAGTCGCGGTATATCCTGCGTGTGTGTGAGTGTTGATCTAGCAGGCGGGTAGGGGTCGCGGCGTACCTCCGAGCGAGGATCGTCCACCGGAGACAGTCAGAATCGGCTTTCCAGTCCTATGCCGTTGTCAGCACTCGTTTTGGCGTCGCAGGGTGCAGTCGGGCGGACCTAGTTATCCTGACGTCCGAGTTGAGTTGTTGTCGGCAGACGGAGGTGGACAGGTTGGCGACACGCTTCAAGGGCATTTGCGCCGACAGCGCCACTGGCGACCGAGCGCAGCGGAGTGGCAGCATAGTTGCGGCGTTCAATGGCTGCTGGTATGTCGAATGGAGCTTCTTGCGAGGCGGCTGCCATGTCTGGACGTCCGTGGTTGATGGCCTTGGCGCTATGCGCTAATCGTAGCTTCCGCCGCAACGCCATGACAGCAACAGAGTCCCGCCCTCCAACAACAGCCCAGCTCTCGTCATTTCACTCCTCCGACCCCGAACTCGACCCCGTACCCTCTCACCCCATCGAAAATCCCGTACGCAACAACCATGGCCATGGATACAGACACGATTCCGAACCTTCTGGGCGATGCGCGGGACGAGGCACCCGAGGAACTCCAGGAATACTTCATCGCCTTTGAGGACTTTTGGGAGCGAAAGCTATGGCACGAGCTTACCGACAAGCTCATCGAATTCTTCGACCACCCAGAGAGCGCCAAACAGCGGATACCCTTCTTCGAAACCTTCATCAAGAGCTTCGCAAACAAGATCAACCAGCTGAAGCTCGTCACCCTGGGGCTCAACACAGCTACACAATACAAGGGTAGGATGGTCCTTTCGTCGTAGACAGAAACATAAGCTGACCCTCACAGACGACAAGGAACGCCTCACCTTTGTCAACGACCTTGCAAAGAGCGTCAACAAGCCCGCTTCACAAGACGCCTACGTATACGCCACAGTCGCCGCCGCCAGCATACAGCTACGGTTAAAGGATGAGGAGGGAGCCAAGAAGAAGCTAGACGAGTGTGAACAGATACTGGATACCTTTGACTCAGTCGAAACCGTTGTGCATGCGTCTTTCTACCGAGCAAGCGCAGAATACTACAAGTCCAAGCACGAGTTCGCTGCATACTACAAGAACGCCCTGCTGTTCCTCGCCTGCGTCGACCTCAACGACCTAGAACTCCGCGAACGCCAGTCGCGCGCCTACGACCTTAGCATCGCTGCCCTCGTCTCAGACTCCATCTACAACTTTGGAGAGTTGCTCCTACACCCCATCCTCGACTCGCTTGTCAACACCCCACATGCATGGCTTCGCGATCTTCTCTTCGCCTTCAATCGCGGCGACTTGATGGCCTACGACGTGCTCTCCAACAACATTACCAAGGTCCCGCTTCTCAAGGAGCACCAGACCTTCCTTTACCAGAAGATCTCGCTATCCGCTCTCACAGAGACCGTCTTCCGCCGCCCACCCCACGACCGCGCCATGACCTTCTCCGAGATCTCGCACGAGACCAAGGTACAACCAAACGAGATTGAGCACCTGATCATGAAGGCGCTGAGCTTGGGACTACTTAAGGGTCAAATCGACCAGGTTGCCGAGATTGCGCGTATCAACTGGGTGCAGCCCAAGGTTCTGGACATGAAGCAGATTGAGGGCATGAGGACAAGGTTGAAGGAGTGGGACGCCAGTGTCAACCAGCTAGGTAACTGGATCGAGGGTGTAGGAAAGGACGTCTGGGCTGCTTGAACGAGGATCATCTCGCAACAGGTCACTGGTATACGCCTTTTAGAGCACGTCGTCTCCACTTCCAACAGGTGGCATGCATCGACTATAAGCAAGACGCGCGGTTGAATGTAATCATAGGTAGTGGCCATAGACGGTCAACGAATGAAAAGACTTATGACTCCATTGCACTCGATGACTTGTGTATTATCTACCATGTAGTCCACTTCTATTCCCAGAATCCAGTCGAAACCACCACGGCTCCCGCAAGCCATGCAGGGAACCAAACCAACCAGACAACAACTTGCGTCCACATGCCCCAAACATGCCACCCAATCGCGCTCTGCACAAGAACATCCGTTAGGTTGGCTCCTAGCAGCTTCGTTATAGTTTGCATAACCAGAACAGGGTTCAGCATGGCCAGCATCAGCAATTGCACTCCAGTAATCCCACGATTGTTACTCCTGCGTACAAAGCTCAATGGCACGCACAGCACCCCAACCAAGACACTCAAACTAAAGTTCAGCGTTGCCAGGGCTGCAAGGAACATGCCTAGCAGTAGCAGGGAGAAACATTGGAGCAGACAAAGGGCTTGCGGTGTCAGCACGTCGGGGGCAGACCACCAAAAGAGAAAGGTTATGATGAGTGGAGCGAGCGTGGTTAGATTGCTGGCTGTGAGGAAAAGGTTGGAGAGGTGGTCGGCGTCCCAGTTGTTGAACAGGTATAGGGGGATCAGGCCGGAAGCATGGGCTGTGAGGACGAGAACGAGGGGAAGGAGGAGATGACGTTCTGTTATCGTCGTGCTGGCTTTGGGGACAACAGCCAGGGAGCCGTCTTGTTCGACGAGCTCAGTGGCCGGCTGTTTAGATGCAGATTCTTCCTTCTTTTCTAGTTGCTCCATCTTAGAGTCAGTGTCCTTCTTCTTGAGCTCGTCTTTGGTAGTCTCGTTCTCGACTGTCTTGGTGTCTGCCGAAGAGGACTTCTCGGTTGACGCCTTTTTGGGTTTTGTGGCAGCGGGGTTGCTGACAGGCTCTGTGGTACGTCCGCTCTTCACCCACAACGCCATTGCCGCGATGCTGAAGTTGATGGCGATCAGCATTGCCGAGGGGAGATATGTGCCAATGCTGACGAAGCGTTTATCTTGTAGCAAAAGGTAGAAGAAGAAACTCTGGTGCAGATGTTCGAGGAGGTTGTTCAGGCTTCGAAAGAGCGATTCGACGGTTTTTCCAAGTGACATCTCGTCATGCCAGCCGTCCCCAACTGTCACCAAGGTAACGGCGTCGACGTGGTATGGAATAAAGGATGAATGAGGCCCAGTAGCGTGACCAATGCCTTGCGAGAGCATACCTCGAAGCATGGTCTGAAGCCGTTCCTTGTAGGAGTCCTTGTGGTCCCACATGCGCTGGATCACACAGCCGATGCCCATCTGACCGGAGGCAATCTGCACTGCAGTGTTGAACAGATCCAGGTTGGGGAGTTGGCCGTTTGTGCCATCGTATACGACATGCAGCTTGTCGTACCGATGACCCCAAGGACCAGCGGGATAGTCTACAGCGACAGCGCCTTGCAATGCACCACTCTTGATCTTCAGGCTCTCAACGTAACGTGTATCGTGTCCCTCGTGGTAGGCATCAACCCAGGCCTGCGAGCCGATAGTGCTATCCCCAGGAATGAGCAGGATGATATCCTTACTCCAAAGACTCCAGCGCTTGAAGTAGCGCGCCAATGTGAGAACCAATGCGACGCCAGAGTTGTTGACCTCGTCTGCCATGTTCTTCCATGCTCCAATCAAAACAATGGCTTCGGTTGCGTCTGCGCGGGGACCCTGGAGGATAGCATAGACGTTTTCGTTCGCGATGGTCCGATTCGAGACGGTGTAATTGTAGTGCTGGGTTGCGACTTTGAGGTTCTGTTCACGGAAGATGGCTTCGAGTCGCTGTGAGCGCCTGTTGCATAGTCAGCTTCAGGTTTGCAAGTTCCAGTCTGCATGCGCACTCTGCGACGGGCTTATCTATCAATCCATGGACCTCATGGCGATAGGCTCGAAAGACATTGTGCTCGCTGCCGGTAAAGTAGGTATGTACTTGTCCCGGGAGGAGCGCATTCTCAGAGACATATGTCCTCCGCGAGTATTCATTCAAGGGGAGTACCAGGAGCCATCCTATACCAATGATTATGCAGAGCGCGGAAAGGTAGGGCGGTAGCTTGAGTAGGCGTTTATCCTGCCGGAGCGCCAGTATCGAGGCTTCACGTGTTTGTTAGTGGTCGGTCCATGTCATGCGCGCCCAGAGCTAGACTCACACAGAAGAGCCATGTTGACGTCTCAGTCGCCCGTCATGTAGGAGAAGAGAGAGAGAGAGAGAGCAGAAAACGAGTTGTGTCCTTGCCCTCTGCCCAGCATCCCACATATCCGTCTGGGAAGGTGCTAAGTCGACTCGAGCGGGAGGATCGTCACTAGCGCCCCGTCGACCCTGGACCCTAGTCCCATTGTAATCTTCCAGTCTGTTCATCTTAGCACAACACAACGCGCCTGCATAACAACCACCCTAAACACTCGGCGTGCTCGCGACGACGATGCCTATAACCTCGATTCCCCAGATAAGCCCTGCGCGGATACGGTCGTATATCCTGCGCCTACCATTCTGCACAAAGCTGCTAGTTGCGGCCATTGTAGGACTATGGGTTGCGACGATTCCGTTTCCGTGGATTAGAGACTTTGGGGCTTTGGAGCCGGCCAAGATGGATCTGACGCAGAGTATGTTTGTTCTGTTAATACCGGGGGATTGAGGCCAACTACAATGCTTGTCTTGTTGCCATGTGTTGCGGCGCAGGCGTACCATGACCGAGGCAGGCGCGGAAGTCACGGAGCTGGGAAGAAGACGAAGAGCTAATAGAATATACCTGTAGTGCACCGACTCAACTTGTTTCCCTTGCTCCATTGGAATTTCATCCACATGATCTTCAACCTCTTCGCCGTAACACCACTTATCGAGCGCTTCGAGTCCGAATACGGGACACTAGTCACGCTGGCGCTCTTCACCGGGCGTAAGATATATCCGGGGTGACATGCACAAAGTTCAAGCTGACCATGTGGCAGCTTTCGGAACCATACCAGGAGGCGTATACACCTTGTTGGAGAAGTTTGTGCTGAGGAGTAATACCTCGGTCATGGGTGCGAGGTATGCCAATTCCAGGTAATCCGTGTATGAGGACATACTAACAGAGACAGCGTATGGGTGTTCCTCCTGCTATCAGCCGAAGTAATGAAGACACACAAGGCGAACCCCTACTTTAGGTACAATCACACTTTCCCTCCCCCAGCCCGATTGTAACTAATCGGTTTCAGTGTCGGACCCTACAAGATTCCAACTTGGACCACACCACTCATTCTTATCGTTCTGACCAGCATACTCATCCCGCACGTCAGTCTTGTGGGCCACCTGTGCGGTGCAGGCCTCGGCTACCTCTGGGCTTCCGGATACATCAAGTTCCTTGTACCACACGAGAAGATCTTGAGATGGATTGAGACGAAACTGAACCTGCTCGGAAGGTTACCGCACTACGTCAGTGTCGACCAAAAGACATACGGCCGCTACGGCGTGCTCCCAACTACGAGCGTGCCGCTGAGCAATAGGACTCCTGACGGTGGACAACGACTTGGGCCGTAGTCGAGTCAAACGAAAGATTTGGGCTGTCGATTTGCTACCGGCGTTTTTGCATTGCGCGGAGTCTACGTCGCCACGAGGCGTTGAGGTGTGTTGCAGTGCTTGTAATACGGACGATTGGTCTTTCTGTACAGATATGTAGACTTAACGTGATACGGCATAATTCTAATGTTCTCCAAGGCAAATCTAGTTGTTCCCGACCATGGTTCGCCATCTTCCGCCTTGGTTTGCAGCCACTAACACTAGTCCTGCAACCCCCTGGTGCCCCTCATCCAACAAACTCTTCTTATCCGCCCCACCAACCACAACGACCAAGTTTGGCAACTCAGACGTCGGTTTTCCATGGCAAACCTCTCAATATATAGAACTTTCTTTCTAAATCTTCCATCAATCAGCTCCATCATCGCTTGGTGTAGCGACTTCCCGTCTCCTTGGTGTAGTTGGTTATCACGTGGGTCTCATATTACCATATATGACTGCTAGAATACAGCAGATATCCCAAGGCCGCCAGTTCGAGTCTGGCAGGGGACAGTTGAATTTTTGCGCCTGCGCAAGCCATGCGGGTGATTGGGCCTTGCTTTTTGCTTGTCTGCAGTGTTGCACATGCGTCGCTATTCATCATATTTTTTGGAATCACAACATTAATATGTGGAGGAAATTATGGTGTACCGCGCATCAATTTTTGAACCTGCTAAGGTAATACACAACCATAATTCCGACGCGTGGCTGATTTCTGTATCACTTTTCCGCAAATGGTCCATGTTTTTGTCAATGGGGTCGTGACGTTTCTCGCACGTAGCAGACTTCACTGCAGATTCCCACTACCAAAAACGGCAACTACAACAAGGCGTAGATTACAGCACTATCAGAGGGGCAGAACGATGAGGGGCAAAGGTGCGAGGGGCGCGGCGGGGTGGTCTTGGAGGGGCAAGCCTGGGTTATGTTGAGGGAGGGGCACGCAAGACATCTCGTGAAGTTGCTCACGGCTGAGCTAGCGTAACGATATGAAACGAGACGAAATATGCTGGTGGGTCTGTCGTGATCAAGTGATTGTATCTAGTTCCTTACAAGGAGATTCTTGTCTGTCTGCCAAGGGAAGCATTTTTCTCACCAGCGCCTCAAGTCAAGGTCAGCAAATCTCGATCACTTGGATAGAAACATCGTTCACTTCAGTCAATGCAGAAACTCCATTGATGAGTCTAAGTAGCTTAGGCCGCCCCTCGAATTCCACGAAAATCAATACACGTATGCGCTTGCAGCTGATCTGGGGGTATTTGAACCACTTCCCATTGGACTTGAGCCTGGACTTAAGCCACCTCTTCGTCTGTCAGACCCAAGGATCCTTTCGAGCTCCTCTGCTTGCTTGAGCACATGTTGGAAATAACTACCTTCGATGCTCCTCTCAGCCATGGCGTTGTTGTCCTGCAGTACATTGAGGCAGAAGAAAACCATGTTTCCTAGGAAAATGTTGCTCTTCATGTCAACTTGCGATGCGACCTCATGGGCACTGACCTCTTCACCATCGTTGATGTACAGCTTCGTCGTGTATGTCGCAGTCTCGAAATCAATGTGTGAGAACGGCGCTTTGAGCGCCATCTCCGCGAGAACGAGCCCGATGCGGAAGATTTGGATATGTTTGGAGAGGTCGCGACTGTCTCTTCTCTCACGGTTGCTTTTATAGCATTTCTCCAAGGTGCGCGTCGTCAATGACTGGCCAGGCGCTGCGGTTAGCATGCTGATCCACTTTCCATCCTTGGTCCTGCGCCAGCGTATGTTCGAACAATCGAGGAAAGACAGCCATTGGCTCCCTATCAATCGGAAACAGCCTTGCGCGACGCCAGTTGCTATCGCGTTTTGATCCTGCGAGTATAGTTTTTGTGAGCCAAGATAGACGTTCTGGTCGCGAATCGTACTCGATAGAGGCTCCTTGTATTCCAAATCACAGAGGAGATTTGTCGGCGGATTCTTGACGATGAAACCTGCCGATGTAGACAAAGTTGGTACCATGTAGCAACTATCCTGCGTCTTGCTTGCAAGAGTTGACAGGGCAGTGGCGAGGTCGTTTGCGACCATGGATGGATCGTGGACGGCCTTGATGGTAACGGGCTGTACAAGGACTTCGTGGCTTGTTCCATGCATACTGAGTAAAAACGCAAAGTCGCGCCTATGAACTCGAGGAACTGAAATGCCGATGTGCAGTCGATGGCTCAATGCGCTGCACCGATGAAGCCGCTCAGCGTCTTTCTGGGCACGAACAACATCTAGTAACTGGCTCTCAATCGTGTCTGACCTCCTGTCTCCGGCCCTGATGATCAGGTGCCGCCCAGGGAGCCGTTCAATCTCTGAGAAAATTTCCACGTGCTCTTTTTCGAGGTAGAAATCAGAAAGGCGTTCCAGTGTGGCGAGCTTCTGATTCAGCCGCTTGAGACGCATCTCTAGGTCGTATGATTTCCCCAGAACGCTCAAGAAAAATCTGCGCGACCATGTACTCTTGCGTTGTATCTTTCGGAGGCATTCTTTGACTCGTTCTTCGTGACCAATATCCTGGTTTTCTCCATAGTAGGTGCGCCCTTGCTCAACTTTGAGAGCAAGGCCTCTGATTCGGCTGATGTCGCTCTTGACGTTCCTTGTGATTATGTTGATAGTACCGATTGTGGCTGTTACGCGCTCATGACCCTCTTTTCCAAAGAGAATTCTAGTGTAAATATTGGGTCGATGAATCTGAATGTCGTACTTGTATTGCCAGTTGTCAAGAGAGATTCTTGCGAATTCAAGACCCTCCTCAATGTCGAAAAGTCGCTCAGACAGTAGCTTCCACTGTTTGATTTGCAGTGCAAAGGTGTGCAGAGCCTTTACTGCTGTATAAAGACTTGAGATAGTAGCCAGCACTTCAGCCATGGCGTATTCAGAATGACTGCCGTGTTATCTTGAAGACGTAGTTGGTACGTAATTTCGATGACGCAAAGCGCACGCGGAGTAGGCGGAAAGGACCTTTGAGCTATGCGCAGCTCGATCGCGATAACATGCAGCTACTGAGGGTAGATGTTATAACGCACGGTGTCGTCTAGAATGTAATGTGGGTACTGAGTGCCAGGTCGAGCAGAGGCGGGTCGATGTGATGGATCAAAAGAGAGTAGCCAAGGATATTAGATAGTTGGTAGCATGACCCATGAAATATTGCGGCTGAACTAATGCGAACGTTCAGCTCGTCGGTATTGGTGTGGGGTATCGCGGCGAGATTGGTTGTAAGCACACTGCACAAGGATGAGGTCACCGTTTGGTGGTACTCAGCCCCCAACGGCCCCCAACGATGTCAGAATTGGGCTTCCTGTTCAGGTGTTTAGGTCGCACTAATCATATGAGCCTAAATTCCTCCATCTCCTTGATTCTGTTGACTTTCTGACCCCACTCAAAGATTCCCTCTGCAATGGGGAGCGGTGCAAGAAGAAAGATTTGACGCATGCCTGTTATCCCCGTAGTACCTTGCCATCAACACTGGTGCATCTCGACTGGCGCCACAGAACAAGCTCTTGAGTGACTGATCTCTTCCCCTGGCTCAATCCTACACTATGGCACCATCTTCAGCTGAAATCGATGAGTATGATCGACATCCGAGCCACCTTCGGTCGCGTTCAGGAAGCTATGTCGATCACATAGAAGAGAAGACGAGATGGGACCGGAGAAGCCGCGAAAGAGAGATGAAACTTTACCATGACAGCCGCTATGGTACAGCCTCATTTTCAAGGTCTTCCAATCAACCTACGCCTGACCGACTCGGCGTTCCTGTATTTGAAACAACAGGAAGGACGCGATCGAGTTCAGATGCGAGCAGAAGACCTAGAGAACCAGAACGAAGGTACAACACACAGGAGGTGCGCCCGAGGATTGTTCCAGTCGACAGGTACGATCTGACCAGCGAGCCAATCTTACCCAGTCAGTCAACTGTCGTGTATGAGCGAAAGATGCAGCACCAGAAAAAGCCAAGCATCAAGGTGGAAATCCACCAAGATAATCCTCCCTTGTCCATGAGCGGCACCACCTTTGCGCCAAAGAGGAGCCCAAGCGCTAGTCCAAGATCACGTACTGCACAACCTCAGCTTCAGTACCAATATGCAACAATTCAAAACAAGCTCTACCAAATCAGCAGTACATGCGCGCCATACATCGACGTTGAAGCAGCAGAGCCTCAAGACCTCACTTTTGAAAAGATAGTTGAACAGACTAAAGCCTTTTCTTTCGATTTGCGGGTGTGGGCTCATCTTGCGAACATTGAGGGTATAGCCAGGGTCGATTCACGCAAAAGGGAGGTCGTGGATGCTGCATCGCGAAGCCTGGACCGCCTGCTGGATCAGATAACGACCTTGAACGACGCTTGTTTCAGGGCCAAGCCGCGGGATCTAAAGTTTAAAGTTCTCCCTGAAGTCGAAGATGACAGCTTGTTCGAAGATGGAGATGACGACAGGTACGTGCCTGTAGGACGCGAACACGATTGTGCTGACAGATGGTTTCAGCTGTGATTTAGACCCTACAGAGACTCTGAGCTTCGCTATCCATTCCAGTCTACACAGCATCGAGCTGCAAATCCAAAACCTCAAGCGCTTGAGTCGGACGCTGCAAGAGGCCACACCAGATGCGAAGAGCGAGGTTATGGCGGTCGCGGGGCTCGTAGCGGAGACAGTAAAGTACTTTGGATCGCAGGAAGCATTGAGTCGCTGATCAATAAACGAACAAATTGCTGGGAGGAAGGGGTTGGAGGACGGACGCCATGCGAACTTGCATTAGCCGGATAAGAGTTTGTAGTTTCTTGGTTCATTTGAGAGATCATTTAGCATATGTGCAAGGTGCGAGGTTACAATTGACGTGTGCTTTAAGGCGATCGCGTTTCCAGATTTCGGTGCATTAATCTTGCGGCGTGAGGAATGTGGCATGTGTGAAGAGCGATGGGTTGGTTGTGGCTGCTGGGACCCTCGCGTCATGCCTAGGTAAACTAAAAGCCTCCAAGATTGGAAGGCAGGGCTCGGCGCAACCACTGCAGCCACCACCGTCGTGTTTTACGAGAACCCCACACGCTATATCGATTGGGTGGATGGAAGATCCAAATCACCGAGGACCGTTGGGTCCTGAACTGAGCGTCGATTTCCAAGAGCTTCTACGACGCGTTGCGAGCGTGAAGAATGAAAAAGAGAGGCTGGTCAGTACGCTAACCTCACGCTACGTCATCGCTGTTCCCTACTTGGTCGAAAGTCCGGCATAACAGTAACAAACCAGACGTTGGCAGTGGCACCATACTCTCGATTTCAACTCTTCGCAGTATGAACCACATTGTCTCCAACTGTTCTGTAGATGGTACGGTGCCTCCCGTCAGAACTTCGGGGAAAGATCGCCATCCATGGTCCATCGTGCATGTCTGGTTCCAATCCCGGCATACTGAAAGTCTCGATACACTGAGCGAGGGAACATGTTCGTAGGAAGGTGTGTATTGGCTAAATGAGATTCAAGAAGGACTCAAAGCCCTCACCTTTCCGAACATCTTGGAAAGAAGAAGCGAATATTTACAGCGCAGCACAAGGAAAGACTGCAGGATCAAGCAACATGCCAGATTCCAGGAGAATTGTGCATCATCTCAACCCAGCCAAACTCAGGTATTTCCACCCAAGGCCCTGATTACCTTCAAGCACTTACGAACACTTGGTAACGCTGGGCACGTTGGAGCACTTGTCATAGGTCTTACCACCAGTAACGTCGACACCGGTCCAGGTCCAGCCTGTGCAAGAGCCTTTGCCACAGGTGACAACGACGTCGTAGCCACTGCTGGAAACACCACCAGTGACGTTGTCAAGTGTCAAGGCGGTGATGGGGACACCAGTGTCCGCGTCACCGTGAAGGTCACCGCCATCGTAGTTCTGCTCAATAAGAACGCCATACCTGGAACGTATTAGAATTTGGCAATGGGTGAAACTTTGAGAAAACGTACTTGGAAATCTCGGACAGAGTAATATCTTCGTAGGTGACTTTGTTAATCTTGCCGGTTGTGCCAACCTTAGCCTTGACGCGGACACCGTTGACAGATTTGGTGACCTCGGAATTGGAGAAGGTGACAGTGTCGACAGTGTTATCGTCACGACCACCAACCGAGCCAATGGATAGACCGTGTCCACCGGAGCAGAGGCCGTTCTTGAAGGTGATTTCCTAGCCGACTTGTCAGTAGGTGCGAATACCGCAATCTCACGTCATTACTTACGGTACCTGAGTTGACAGCTACGCAATCATCCTGGTTGTAAACCTTAGCGCCATCAATGATGACGTTGTTGCTGGAGCCAATATCGAAACCATCTGTGTTGTGGCCCTGCTCGTCCTTGTCGCCGTCGGACGCATCGATAGTCATGTCTGTAATGGTAAGACCATCGCAGCCGTTGATACTAACGACTTGGACGGGAGGGTTCTTGATGGTAATGCCGGTGATGGTGGAGTCGGTCAGTTTGTGAGCGGAGAAGAACTTGGGCTTGGTCTTTCCACCATTTCCACCCTTACCGTCCCACCAACGAGCACCATCACCGTTGAGAACAGATCCCTCAGCGCCCTTGACAGTGATCTTCTTTCCTTGGATGTCAAGAAGAGGACCCTTCCACTCCGAGTAGCCCCAGGTGGTGGTACCCTCGAAGATGACGGTAGTACCGTCAGCCAGACTAGAGAGGTCCAAAGTTGTGCCTGAAGGGACGGCAACGTCGGAAAGGACCATGGTAGCACATGATGACTGTGACTTGGAAGCCTCAGCAGCTCCGTTGGAGCCTGAAAAAGTGCAGCTGGAGGCACGCTTCACGACTTCGGGCTTGGGTGCAGGAGTGATGGCTGGGGCCGGAGCTGCAACAGCAGACGCCGCCAGCGACGTGAAGAAGATACCAAGAGTTAAGGCAACCATTGTGAAAGATGCTTGATATTGAAGAGAAGCTTGAAGGAGTGAGTGAAGTGCTTGGTTGCTTGGCCTACATGCTTGGTACGCCACATATATATACAGATTTCTAGCAATGCTATACACGCATGTCAATGACTTAGCTATCAGCTTCCTACTCATGTATCGATGGTACAGTCGACGTTCCCATCATTTCCCGAGTCGAGTTTCTCCATAGTGAAAGATGAAGGATTGTTTCGAAGTCCTCCAATAAGTGGAGAGCATGGAGACGAGATGAGAGAGACGTAATCGCTCGAAGCAACACTTGCTCAGTGCGTGTGTGTCGCCAAGGGACTTTTGTTTCAAAAAATCCTCCAATGGGTGGACCCGCTAAAGATCCACATGTCCAGACCTGTCGTTCGAAAGGCACCCCCGTTGTCGCGTCAATGCATCACCAGAACCGTGTGACAAGCATCGGGAAACACGGAAACTAAAATGCTTGACTCTTTTGCAGCCCGCCTCAGGGGAAGGAACATGGGAAAGCTCTCTTCCGTGGATGAGGTAAGGTCTCAAAAGCGGCTAGCCCTTCTGCTGGACATTAATTGCACATCTGCGTTGTTCCCAGCGGTTCGCGGTTCGCGGTTCGCGGGTCGCGGGTCGCTCACGTTTTCGTTCTGATCTCTGTGGCTGCGATTCCAAGGCCAACAAAAGACACAAAATGCATGCTGCTGGACTCTCCCATGACGCGTATCGGACTTGTCCCTTCCTGTTAGGGCGAACCTTCCGCTGGCAAGCTTCCTTCACAAGCACCTCGGCATTCTCGGGCAGATGATGTTCCCCTTCTCCGCAAAACGCCACATCTGGGGTCTTAGTACCTTGCATATATTACCCCGCGGCCTCGCTTGCAGCAGTTCTTCCATGGCAAACATTATACCGTCAATGATATCGTTCCGTGAAGCGCAGGTCCGGAGGACGATCTTCGACCGCGGCTGAAATCTGCGGGCTAGTTGCATGCGAGCTCCAAGGCAGGGTTATGGAGCAAAAGTCGCGTCGCGTCCAGTATTGAACCTTTTTCTGGTCACTCAGCAAGTCAAGATGCGGTTCTTCCATCTTTTTGCTGTCGCGATCTCGCTGTTCTTTTGTGCATTGGCTACCGACAATGGCCTTCAAACGGACGTGGAGTGGGATAATGGATCGCTCATGGTCAATGGCGAGCGTGTAATGATTATGAGTGGAGAATTCCGTACGTTGATGAAATGGAATGAACAGACCGTACATGAAAGAGATGCTAATCCTTGCATGTGTTCCTCTCAGACTACGCTCGTCTCCCCGTTCCAGAGCTATGGCTCGACGTCTTCCAGAAGTTCAAGGCGAACGGCATGAATGCTGTCTCGATCTACTTCTTCTGGTCGTATCATTCGGCATCGAAAGGCGTGTACGATTTCACGACACCTGGAAAGGACATTCAGCGCCTGTTTGACATGGCTAAAGAAGCCGGCCTCTACGTGATTGCACGGCCAGGGCCCTACTGCAACGCCGAGACTAACGGTGGTGGTTTCGCGCTTTGGACCAGCGACGGGAGTGGTGGCAAGTACAGAACATCAGATGAGACCTATCGGCAAGCATGGTCGGAATGGATTGCTGAAGTTGGCAAGATCATTGCGAAGAACCAGATCACCAATGGTGGACCAGTCATCCTAGCGCAAGTCGAGAACGAACTCCAGCAAACTCGCTACGAGGCCGACAACACATTGGTCATTTACATGGAACAACTGAAGACCGCCTTCAAAGACGCAGGCATCATCGTACCTTTGTCACACAACGAAAAGGGCTTCAGATCGAAGAGTTGGTCCACTGATTACAACAATGTCGGTGGCGCGATCAATGTTTATGGGCTGGACAGCTACCCCGGTGGCATGAGCTGCACAAATCTCGACACTGGATTCAACCTGCCGAGAACGTACTACCAGTGGTTTCAAGAGGTCTCCCCCACTCAACCTGAATATCTCCCCGAGTTCGAGGTAAGTCGTGACCTTACTAAACGCATGTGGAACATACACTGACCTGTTGTCTTCACCTCATTAGGGAGGGTGGTTCCAACCTTGGGGCGGTTACTTCTTCGATCAGTGCTTGGCTGAACAGAGCCCTGAATTTGCGGATGTTTTCTACAAAGGACTAATCGGACAGCGCGCTAGTCTTTTGAATCTGTACATGGCCTATGGGGGTACAAACTGGGGACATAGGTGAGTCGGGACTGCACGAGATGCATTTGAGACGTACACTGACTTGGTACCTCCATCTGAACAGTGCCGCCCCCGTAAGTAACTCCTGTTCATGAACTATATTTGAAACATATACTGACTTCATACTCCCATACTCAGGTAGTATACACCTCCTACGACTACGACGCACCACTACGCGAGACCAGGGAGGTACGCGACAAGTTCAAGCAGTACAAGCTTCTTGCCCTCTTTACCCGTGTTAGTAAAGGCCTGCACAACACCTTCATGGAAAACAACGGCACCGCAAATGCAGTCGACAATTCAGCCATCTGGACCTGGCAACTCAAGAATCGCAATACAGAGAGTAGATTCTACCTCGCTGAGAACAACAACACGCGCACCCGTGCTGTGACTGATTTCTCGATGACGGTCAAGACATCTGAAGGCGATGTCAAGATTTCGAGCTTACAGCTTGCGGGTCGACAAAGTCGATGGGTAATTACAGATTACTCTGTGGGTAATGAGACGCTACTTTACTCGTCGGCTGAGATCGCGACCTACGGTTTGTTCAATCGACCTGTCATTGTCTTCTACACACGCGAAGGACAAGCGGGAGAATTTGCTTTCAAATCGCAGAGCAACCTGACCTTCAAAACGTACGGCGCGAAATCAGACATTGCAAGCGCATCGTCGAACAGCACATACTCAAGCTTTTCTTACACCCAAAGCAAGGGGGCAACAGTGGTAGAGTTCTCAAATGGGGTGCTTGCTTACTTGCTCGATATACCAACTGCGTACACCTTTTTCGCACCAGCAACGACTAATGATCCGAATGTCACTCCCGAGCACCAGATCTTCGTACAAGGACCGTATCTAGTTCGCTCAGCTAGCATATCAGGTGGTGCAGTTTCTGTTATTGGCGATAATGCGAATGCGACCACCATCGAGGTATACGCCGGCTCTGGTGCGGATACAATATCCTGGAATGGAAAGGAGCTCGCTACAACGAAGACACCCTACGGCTCCCTCACTGCCGCAATCGATGGTACCAAGGACCGCGACATCACTCTTCCAGAGCTTTCAAACTTCAAAGCGGCTGAATCCTCCCCCGAGATCCAACCCTCATACGACGATAGCAATTGGGTAGTCGCCGACAAGAACACCACACTAAGCCCTGTAAAGCCCCTAACTCTTCCTGTACTCTTCAGCAGTGACTACAAGTACTACACTGGGGCCAAAATCTATCGCGGATACTTCTCAGGCAAATCTGCAACATCCCTCAACATCACAGTTCAGGGTGGCGTGGCTGCGGGTAAGATAACCCCTTGTACGGATTGTACACGAGACACACACACTGACTTTGTACATGAGTATATTAGGATGGAACGCATGGCTGAATGGGAAGTCGATTGGTTACCATCCTGGTAACGCGTCGCAAACTTCGACGACCGCACTGCTGTCTTTCAAAAACATCACATTGAAGGATGAAGGCAATGTTTTGACAGTAACAACGGACTATACTGGCCATGACCAGACATCCACAGGCCCAGCCGGCGCAGAAAATCCTCGTGGTATACTCGGTGCACAGCTCCTCAGCGGCAACAATACCAAGCTATCCTTCGACCAATGGAAGATCCAAGGTAACGCAGGCGGAGAGCGTAACATCGACCCTGTTAGTGATTTTTCTGCACAAAACGCATATAAAACATACACTGACTTTGTACGACCTTTAGGTTCGCGGCCCCATGAATGAAGGCGGTCTCTACGGTGAGCGTCTTGGGTGGCATCTTCCCGGATTCGATACCTCCTCCTGGGAAGATGCTAGTCCCACCACTGACGGCGTCCAAGGCGCCGCCATCCGCTGGTTTACGACGACATTCTCTCTTTCTATCGACTCCGATCTCGATGTCCCTATCGGCATCGAAGTCGGGGCGCCGAAAGGTACCATTGCCCGTATGCTTCTCTTCGTCAACGGGTATCAGTACGGCAAATATGTTCCGCACATTGGACCACAGGTACGTTATGGCTGTACGACATGCATGTGAGACATGCACTGACTTGGTTTTGCAGACACGATTCCCTATCCCTCCTGGCATCCTCAATATGAAGGGCGAGAATGTTTTGAGTGTGGCGATGTGGTCGCAGACTGAGGCTGGAGCGAAGTTGGACACGCTGAAGTTGGTTGAGTATGCTAGGTATGAGAGTGGCTTCGCCTTTGCAAGCATCGATGGAAAGGCGTTGCAGGATCGATGGGAGGATAGGAGTCAATACGCATAAACTTTGGCGGGCTCGTACTAGATAGTGTATGATCTAGCCTACTGATATCAATCCATCAAGGGTCGACTTGGTCTGCCAGTTCCACTCAATATTCCCATCCATCATCTCCACTATCTTCAAAGTCTAGCACCATGTCTACCCAGTTTCCTCCACCATACTGGCATTTGCTCGGGCCAATCTTCTTGAACCCTGCCTTCTCGTAGAACTGTATATATCGGTCTCTACAGATGAGCGCTATCCTAGATGCCACATCTGAGTCTTTGATTCTTTGTACGTAGCTCTGCAGTAATATCGAGCCGAGCCCTTTGCGCGCGAAGTTGGGATGCACACATAGCGAGTGCAGGCAAACTGTCTGGCCGTCTTCATTGTGCCCTACTTTTGGCGTAAGCTGGTAGTTGGTCTTCCAGTCCTTGGGGTAGTCCATAGCGTCATCAGTAACAACAGGTGAGTTCGCTTTGGTTGAGATGATGTGGCCAATTATCACACGTTTCCGGTCAGTGTCGGTCGAGTCTAATGACGGAAACGAATGCAATTTAATGGTTTCGCCTAGTGGCCCTGATGTGGTGGGGTAGGCGGATGAGAAGAGGCCGCTACATAGTTCACCGCAGGTTCGCAGACGGTATTCGAGCTACAATTGGTCAGCGTCAGATCTGGAGATTTGTATACCAGAGATGCTTGCAAACCCAGAGTCTATTGGATCAAGTCTTGAGAAGGAAGGGACGTAGCACAGGAACGACCAAAATAGGAAAGAGCGACCAGCTAGTGTACGACAAACTCGATTGATGCCGTTGATGGATGCACGAGGGAGATGAAAGTTTGGTGCAATGTTGGATGGAAACAAGATAGACGAAAAGCATGCAGACTTGAGAATTGGAGTAACCTGGTGATGGAGAAGAGCGCACGGGGCGAGGCCTGATGGAGCCCAACGGTGGTACTGAATAGGAGATACAGGCATTGACTGTGATACTAGAGAAACAAGACGGACAGCAAATTGTTCTTCTCACCTTCTCGCGCGACGCGGCTTCAACCGGATCAAAGGCGGCATGCTCAAGCCAATCGCAGTCGTCAAGGTCGTCGATGTTCAGTAAAGAAGCATATGGACGAACTCCCATCTGCTTCAACCGCCCCTCCTGGGCAATATTGGAGCTGCGATGGGGTACCAGACTAGATTGCTCGACGGGTTCCGGACTAGAGACGGTCTCAGGTTCTCTTGATAGTTGGGGCATGGCATCCAGCGTCTTCTTGTCTGCTAATAAGTCCCGAGGCATCTTGGCGGTCGATGGCAACAGACGTTGTGGTGGGTGGGCGATGGAAGGATACGGCAGGAAGGCAGGTGGATGCAGCTGTAGGAGGCCGAAGTGCAGCGGTGGATTTGTGGGTTCGTGGTTCCTGGAAGACTCACGAGACTCTGCGGCCTCAGCCCCGCCTTTACTAGCGGTTCGCTTCGCTTCGCGTTGCCGTTGCAGATCGTTCCGGGTTAGCTGGGGACGGGAGCTGACTCGGGGGAGCAGGCGGGGGCATGTTTCCTAGGTAGGTATTCTTGTGGTGGTGTATCATGTACTAATTCGCGACGTGACCGTGTTTCTCGAGAGAGCAGCAGGTGGTGCTAGCGGGGTATGCTCAGCGGCGGCCTCGTCGGCCCATGCCCTGACTAGCAAGGTGGTGGCAATGGATTTACGAATGACGTGCAGTAGGAGGATGGGTGCAGCGGCGGCCAGACGATTCTCCTGCATGCTGCGTTGGGCCGACGTCGAGGCATGGCAGACGTGATGCTAGCTTGGGCCTACACGGCCAACGTCGTGGTTCCGTACGCTCGCCCACGACTGCGCGTCGATGCCTACGCCTGCGCGCTGATTCATCCGACGCTGGGTTCGCGGCTCCACTACGTTCCATTCCCTTCCAGCCCAGGCGGCGACCGCGTTCCCAAGGTTGCGACAAAAACACCACGGCCCAGTGCCTCCTTCCCTATAAGCTCCCTCCCGCGCACCGAGACATCACACAGTCGCCTCCCGCCCGACCCAAGCCAACCTCAACCACCCCGCGTGTCACATCCAGTGGCCTCATCCAGACGTGCCCGCATACGCCCCAACACACGCTCTGGCCCACCATGTGAGTTTGTACCAAAGCCATTGCTGTGCCACGACGCTGCCCCGAGCACGCTGCTAACCCGCTGCTGCCAGGCCTCGCGTCACCATATCCATCACCGCGCCCGGCACCCAGGCCGACACAGACCTGCTGACGCTCGAACTGCCGCCGGGCAGCACCGTCAAGGACCTCAAGGGCTTCATCGAGGCCGACACCAACCTGCCCGCGGCGTCACAGAGCCTCTACCTGAACGGCCAGCCGGTAGCCATAGACACGCAGACACTCGAGGACGCCGGGGTACGGGATGGCGAGATGCTGGCCGTCGTGATGCGCCCCGCACCCCGACAGAACAGGAACCTCCAGCACCCGGGCAGGCCCGCCCAACCTGATCCAGAGGGCGTGCGACAGCTCGTCCTCAACGACCCCCAGCAGATGAACAAGCTGCGTCAGGGTGACCCGGAGCTCGCCGCCGCCGTCAACGACCCCACCCGCTGGAGAGATACATATGCCATGAGGCAACGACAGGCGGAGGAGTCGGAGCGCGAGCGTCAGAACCAGATCGCCCTGCTCAACGAGGACCCCTTCAACGTCGAGGCGCAACGAAAGATAGAAGACATTATTCGCCAGGACCGCGTTGTCGAGAATCTGCAAAAGGCATACGACGAGAACCCTGAAGGTACCAACACATCATTCCCAACAAGTCAAACACGTCCGACTCGCATTGAGCCCATGCTAATCTTTCACACAGTCTTCACCCGCGTGCACATGCTCTACGTCAACACCGAGGTCAATGGCGTGCCCGTCAAGGCCTTTGTCGACTCTGGCGCCCAGGCCACAATCATGTCCCCCGACTGCGCCGAGCGATGTGGTATCATGCGGCTGATGGACGTCCGATACGCCGGCATGGCGCGTGGTGTCGGTACAGCGCGCATTCTGGGTCGCGTGCATCACGCCGAGATCAAGATTGGTGGCGCAGTCATGCCCTGCGCTTTCACTGTCATGGAAGGCAAGGATGTCGATCTACTTTTCGGTCTGGACATGCTCAAGCGTTACCGCGCCAAAATCGATCTTGAGAAGAATGCCCTGTGCTTCGAAGGTCAGGAAGTACCCTTCTTGCACGAATCGGAAATCCCCAGGAGCTTCGAGGAGGCCGAGATGAATGAACCGACTGTGTCTGGTCCTAATGGAGAGGAGATTGGTGCAAAGACGGGTGCTGTACGACCGAAAGGTAGCGCTGCAGCTGGTTCCTCGAATGCAGGTGCCTCATCTTCGTCGTCTCAACCTGCACAGCAGCAAGCCCCACCCACAGCGTCCAAGGCACCCGCACCATCTGCACCTAACAGCAACTTTCCCCGGGAACATGTTCAGCAACTTACCGGTATGTTTGGCTGCTCAGAACAAGAAGCCATACAAGCCTTGGAGATGTTCGGAGGCAATGTCGAACATGCTGCAAGTTTTCTCATCGGTTAGTGCATGCGGGAACATCAGGGCATGCTCAGTATTGCTACACGGCGCTTACCAGCCTTTGCCTAAGACTTACTTAACATGGTTTCTACCATTTGAAGAGCTGTGGATGATTCAAATGAGTCTTTAGATGAGGAGACGAGGAAACGAGTTCACGACATGGCATCGAATAGCATGCATGCATTATCATTGAACAGGAATAGAAGCTGAAGAGTTTCCTATGAATAAATGCATCTTCACGAAGATCAGATAGATCAATTGATGAAAGGCCTTCAACGCCTGTTACACGCTTCTTGCCATGACAGTATACTCCCACACCTATTCGATTATACGCCCCGCTCACCTGATCTTGTACAGGCAAGGTTTCAATACCGCCCCATCCTTTTCGTCACCCTCATTCTCTCCCTCACCCGCACCAAATCTCTTCCCCTTGAGCCCAAACTTCATACCCCCGCCTCTCTGTGCCACAGCTCCTGCTTTCTGATCTTCTCTCGCATTCTTGCCCTTGCTCGGGTGTGCCGCCTTGACAAACTGCATCTTGACAAACATCTTGTTGCTCAGATCGATCGCATCCGCTGGCCTCTCCGGCAAAGCATCAAGCACAAATCCCCGCTTCCTCAGTACCTCGATGAATGCGGAAACATCTGTTCCCTCCTTGCCCTCTTGACCATCTACATTGACCGCGAGTTCAGCCTCGTCTTCAGAGTCAACGGGGCCTTCCTCAGGCGGCTTGTCTGCCTTTGCTTTCTTTACCTTGGGCGGTTTCTTGTCCATTGTCTTCTTGAGTGAGCCGATAGAATTTATGGGTACACCGCCCTTCTTCTTGTCTACGCGTCCAAATCGAGATTTGATCTCCGAGACCCACAGTTCGCCTTTCCAGCGAAGGATGCGGTATGCTTCGTCAATGAAGTCGAGCCAGTTTGTTCCCATAAGGGCGAGACAAAATATGGCTACGTCGACGCTATTTTCGGGGATAGGGAGTGCGGAGATGTCGGCTATGGTTACGAGATCGGCAGAAGGACCCGAAGGTTTGGACAAATCAAAGGAGTGGAATGTGAGGTTGAGGGACTTGAGGTGCGGTTGTAGGCGGTACGATAACGAAGCTGTTCCACAGCCTAGATCAGCGATTGTGCTGTGGCCTTTAAAGTCTCTGGGCAGTGGTTTCGCGTCGCCTCTGGGAGGTGCTATAGCTGTAGTCTCTTCTTCTTCAAAGCCTGGGCCTCTGCGGACTCCGTTCTTTGCTGGTCCTCTTCTGTCCTTCCGCGCGTCCTTGTTCCGCAATTTTCCTCTTACGAGTATGCTGTTCACGTAACCGTCTACAGGGTTCGATGGCCATACTTCGACCTGCTGCGCAAATCCACGGTGGTAATCTTCGAACATGGATGGGTCCTCCTTGAAGAGAGACGCGCTGTCGGCGGAGGGCTTCGTATAAAGTGCTTCGTTCAGGTGACGGAATCGCGCACTAGCTAGCTTGCTGCGCATAGATCGCTGGAGGGGTGTGAGGCCCTTGGGTTCGGGGAGGAGGTTTTCTAAGGCTGGGGTTTCAGAAATAGACTTCGTGCCGGCGGCATTTGCGGCGAGCAGTTTGTCGGCTTTGGACTCCTTCCTGCGCTTCTTCTTCTCGCGTTTTGACTCGCTCTCGGCCGCAGCGGGCTGATCCCCAGCAGACTTGGCAGCATCTGCTTTACCCTCTGAAGGTTCTGCTACCAGTGTAACCTCTGCCTCTGCTCCTTTTTCGCCATCTCCATCCATTGCCTTGTCCTTGTTACCTCCGGCTTTTCCTCGCTTTCTCTTCTTCCCGCGCTTCTCTTGCGCTGCCTCATCTGTCGCTTCTACGCCATCCGCCTCCGGCTTCTTGGTCTTCTCCACCTGCGTTCCTTTTCCTTTGGCTATATTGTCCCATTGTTCTGCCAAGTTGTCCGCGTTAATCTGCTGCTCCTCGCGCTTCTCTTTCCTCTTCTGCGCCTTCTTCCCGGGTTTCGTGGAATCTTTCTGTTTGGGTGCCTCGACCTGAGTCTTCACCTGCGTGGCAACGTTCCACCCAGGAACAGCGAACATGTTGACGAGCTGGTGGAGACAAGTATGCGATAGTGACGTGAGATTTGGAAGACGCGCAAGAAAGTTCCTGGCACGGCTCGAAAATTTGGGCGGCGGAAGGTTTTACCGAGATGTGGGGCTTTAGCGCGGAGTTCGTCAACTCCACTTTGCTGGCACCGCATACAAGGGAGAAATTGAAGAGGTACACTAAAGCTTTCTACTGCTCTACAGCCTACAACAGCACTAAGGTAATTATTATTTATATAGACATTAAAGGTTTAAAGTCTATATTAACTTAGAATATCTGGTATTATTCTACAAAATACTATCGTAGACTGCAGTAGGGAGGACTAGGTACTCCCGCTCCTCGGAATTTCCTTGTATACGGTACTGGAGCAGACTGGTCGCGTTCTCTTGGCACAGCTTGAAGAAATTCGCAAAGTAGAAAAACCTAACGCGGCCCCCTCGCCGGGCCAGTTGCTTTGCTTCCAAGTCAACTGCGATAGGTACCTAGCTGTCGATTGCGCAATGGTTCACTCTTACAAGTCAAGACTGTGTCATGTCTTGGATGAATACACTGTATAAGCACTTTGATGTCTCGCCTTTCCGCCAAAGTAATACGCATCACGCCTAAATACTTTGACAACCACACTGTTAGTATATCATGTCAACATCACATTCTGACTAGGTCTCGTACCTAAAACCTTCTCGGTCCTCCCCAACATATAAACTTTACAGAGTTAATTGAACGCCAAACGCAGGTCATCCTTATCAACATTACCATGTCTACGTTGGGCGATATGCAGAAGCAGCTGTCCCACATTGTGGAAGAGGCGAAAACTAAAGGCTACAAGATCGAGGACGTCATCCCAGAGAATATGCAGAATCACTTCTCGGAGATGACTGAGCTCAACGCAGCACGCCAATATATTCATGAGATCCAGGCTCGTGAGCGAGATCTGCAGATCGATAACAACGCCCTACGAGCCATAATCAAAGAGAAAGAAGCCGAGATCAATGAACAGCCAGCTGAAGTCAAGGCTCTCAAGGTTGATCTCCAACAAGCGTACCGCCAGATCGATTACTACCGCGATCTTTCTGAGGACTCCCAACGGCGTGCGCAACGCTACCAGCGCGATCTTTCTCTTGCTGTCAAAGACCAGATTGCCTTCAATGGAGCTATTGCCAAAATTGAGCGTCTACAGAACGAGCTTGGCCAGCATCGATCCACGATCCGGCAGCTACAAACAGAAAACGAACGCACGGCTGAGACATTCGCTCACCTCCGCGCACAAGACGCAAGACTCATAGCAGCAAATGAAGCCCAATTCGCTAATATTATGTCACACACTTCTCAAATCGAAAACGAAAACGAACTATTCAACGAAACGTTTACCACGCTCATTGACAAACTAGAGTTCGAGGTTTCATCCGCAGCCACTTCTGTTAATGACAAGGCTACCCTACTGCGTAGGATGGAAATACTGCACAACGCTATTTTCAGTGAGGTAGCACCTCTGAATCGCTTGTTCTCTCGTGTCCTCAAAGTGCTTCAAATTTACCAAATGCTTTTTCAATCGCTCTCCGATCCATGCAACTCTGACATAGCCAGTTTGCCGCTTGAACTGGATCCGCTTATTGAAGGTGCTATGCAGGACCTGTACGTTTACAACGAAGTGCACAGAACCATGTGCCAAGATTCAGGGCTTGCTGGGGAGCACATTCGTGTACATCTGAACGGTATCTCCAAGAGCGCGAACGATATGCTACAAAGCCTAAGTTCCATCAAAGGGGATATGGCAAACTTTCTAGTGCGTTTAAAGAAAGAGCCAGGTATGTGGACGGCTATGAAGGCAAAATTCGGTATATCTGGGAAGAAGAAGGTTATAGGGAAAAGGTTTTCTGTTCACTGAGGTGGTGGCAACGCTTTCTCAGCGTCGGTTTTAGCCATCTACTTCTTGGGTAGCCCTGTTATGTGATTCATCTTCATCGACCATTGCGTGCACAATTGCAACAGAACTGAGTGAATTCCCTTGAAGCTTGCATCACCCTCAACACCTCCTTACAATTCGAGCCACATCTGCAGACCCCGTGCAACTACAGCTTAGAAATTCATCACTTCGATCAATTGTATTTTCAGAGCCTTCGTAAGATTGTTGTATTGGTTAGATACCCGAAAGGTCCAGATACTCCTAACGAGATACCATTGATATATGGGTTGTGGCTGTGATATAGGAGCACCGCTCTTTCTGATACATGGTGGTAGGTAGTGGCTGGATCTCGGTGTGAATGCAATGCGAAGAAGGCTCACGAATGTGAACGCATAACGTCCAGCGAATGATCCTTACATAAATCACACACAGCGGCTTTACAGATCTATTAATACTCTTCCGTATTGCCATGATTTGGATCTTACTCTACAACAGACGTCATCGCTGGCATGTTATCTTCACACGAACAGATTGCTATGACATCAGGCTGTAATAACATGTTGTCTTACGATGATTTGGAGGCTACTCAACGGGCAGCTCTAACTCATCACTCGAATATCTCGCATGCGACGGATACGGTGGACGACAGCGCAGATGAGTACCAGCCGGACGACTATGAGGAAGAGCACGACCATGAGGATGCAATGATGATAGATGCACCGGAAAGCACACACATTGGCGCTCCTCACACCATAGCTCACATGGATAGAGAGGCAAAACAGTATCGCTCCGACGAACAGGTCGGCTTCATCATTCTGACACGCGACAACAACAAGCCAGATGCCTACGGTACAGTGTCAGAAACACATGGGCCCCTTCCATGGCCAGGTGTCGCCAAAGCATACAACGAGAAATACAAGCTCTGCGTCGGCCCAGCGGCGATGGAAAAGCGTGCACGGCAACACCGAGGCGCTTGGATAGCAAAGCATCCAACTTATCCAACCAGCATAGTTTATACGAAGAAGGCCAAGACATCGCAAGATCGGCGTGTAGACGGTCTGGTCGTCAAGCCCGGTGAATCACATACACCTGCCGAACCGTTCGAAGGTCACATCTTCAACCACCGTGTTGGTGACTATATCCTCGACTCGGACGACGAAGAAGACTGCAAGATGAATGTCGGCGGTTGGGTACCACCAGACATCGTTCGTAATCAGGTGGCAGACCTCAGTAGCTACCTAGATCAACTGAGGTCAGCACAAATCGGAAATTTTGTGATAGAGGTTTTTGATGCGCAGAACGTATTGCTGGGGACTATTGTTGCTGACCGTGAAGACCTTGTAAGTTCCCCGTTGTTACAACGATTAATAAACGGTAATGGTAGGACACAAGTGCAGCTTCATTGCTGTGCCACCACGGTCGTCCAATCGTACGTACGCTGTACCTCATCCAAAGGGCTGGTTGAGCTGCCAGCACTTCTTCTTCGCGATAGTAGCTTGCTCATGAACTTGTACTGCTTCGCCACGCAGCTCGAAGATAACTCGGTTCGTGAGCTGATATTAGCTCTATGGCACCGTTTCGCCGAGTCGAATACAGAAGTCAGTCTAGGTCTCGAAGACCTCAACCTGCTTTTTGAATGTACCTGCAGTGGGGATCCAGCGCGAGAGTTCTGGATTACCACTGTTTGTACTATGGGGTTGGCTGCCCAGCTCATCAAAATGGGCGAGTGCAATGTGAATTTGATCGCCGAGATCCAGGACGTGGTGGCAAGAGCTTCTGTGTGAATAGTGCGTCAAGAGCAGCTGGTCGCCACAACGGGATCCAGGGCTTTCCATCACATGAGTGACCAGTGATCGATAGAGCCGGACGCCGAGGAAATAACCTATGTATTCAAGATCAACTAGTCTATTCCTTTTCGCTGTAGTGTCTTCAGAAGCGTTGTACTCCGTGGTCCGCCTATGGTCTTTCCGCGGTTCGTACCGACTAGTATCTTTCTTGCGTAGAACGAGATGAAGAATACGGAAAATTCGCGAACAACTCCGAGATATAAGTGTAATCCCGCTGCAGCCAATTCGTTGGAGGCCTAGATCTAGCCCAGCATGAACTAAAATCTCCGTATACTAAAGCCTTTAGAGTTTGACTTGGGAAGTCTTGCTCGAACGAGGATGCATCCGGAACGAGGTCTAGGGATATCACGAGATTTCAAAGACATATTTCAAGCCAAAAGGATTCCGGTGTAGGCATCTAGTGCGTAACCGAACCGGACCGGGTTACCGATGCCTAGAAGATGGGTGACAGGTTTGCTTTACCTTGGCAGATCAAACTTTTCATCAAATCATTAGTTGTGAAGCCAGAATGGTCAATAGGCCGGACTTGAATCCTTCGCTTAGTTATCTAATGGCTTCCGCCTCCTAAGTCGAATCTTGTTCACGACGATAGCATACTGCTGTGACATACCTAGGCAACCTTGGCAGATCAATAATCATCCATCGCCGACCGTACGTTGCATTTCAGCCAAGCAGTCACGGTCCGTTTCAAGGCGAACAACGAAGGCGTCGTGAAACCGTTAGCTTGAATATGTTCACTTGACTGAAGCTGGCACGGAGACGTCCTCTCCGTAGCGCCTGTCCCCCTTTGTGTTAACCCTGCGGGAAGGTCGCAGTAGCGCCATCGCTTATGGCTGGGCATTAGAGGGATGGGTATGCCTCCGTTGCACCACAACATCCTCACCCCATCACTTGTCCATGACACGCCAGCGTGAAAACACTTAGCTCTTAACGAATTGATTCTACTTTTGACCTCCGACATGCATCGAGGCGCTTAGAGCCGATTATCATGCAGGATCAAGCGTCAGCGACTTCTCAGCAAACGCCCCTAGGTTATGTTGTACCATGCGCTCGTGCCAATCCTTCGAGCTTATTCGCGGATAAAACTGCTACTATCAAGATGGGCCCTGTCTACACCTGAGGCGGCCGCACACCAGCGCTCGTTCCTCTATACAGCGTGACCATGCTGATAGTCTTGTGCAGAGATCGCCCAGCGCCTCTGTTGATACCAGCGATCTTCGTTCCAGCATGTGTTGGATGCTGTCTGCTGATATTAAAGATTACCCTTCTAGCACCTAGGCGAGAGGCACACTCGGGAACAGGCGATCCTCTCAAAGCTGATGTGCATTCATTGTAGCAGCCTAGCCGAGGACAGCAAAGTGCATACCCTTGATGGACCAGGATACGTCCCAGGTTTTGGGGCCCCATCAAATCCCCCGCGTTTTACGGCGTCGCCACCTATCAGAAATGTGTTGGGTGGGCGGAGAGCGGCTTTGACTAGTGGCAGCTGCCGTAGAGCGGTCAGAACAATTGACTACGGTCCATGATTCCGAAAGATTCGACTCTCGCTGTACCATACCTCCCAAGCGTGTGGCGTCTGCACGCAAACGGGACGGTTGAGGCTTGTTCAAGGTGCTGGAGCCGCTTCCTAATTAGGCCTACGGACCAGAGCCCTCCGTGGCCATTTAGCTCGGAAACATGTTTCCAGAACTGCGACTCCGACGGCACGCCGCTGGGATGCAGCATTAGCCGGAAATTGCGGGCCATAGCCCGGCATTCTGGCCATTGAAGGTCTACCCTTGTGTATTTCCGATTTTGTTTAATAGCTGAGCTGCATCCGAGTTGTATCCTGCACAGTTCACCTAGAGTATCTCCACCGCAGCAATGTCGGACATCAAGGAGTCTCATGTCACTACAACCTCAGAGCATGGCGTAAGGTCTATCTTCAAATCATGAAATGCTAAGTTTACTTACACCTTAACAGGACCACAAAGGTGCCGTGGCTGATATCGCCGTCATTTCTGGCTCTGAAGCCATAGCAGAGGCCAAGCTGAAGGAGCCTGTAGTTCGTTTCTCTAGCTCTGCCATGCTACTCTACGTCTGCGCATTTGTTGGCTTCTTTTGCTCGACATGTAACGGTTTCGACGGATCCATGTTTAACTCTCTCCTTACCAACAATACATTCAAGGAGTATTACAACGTCGAGAGTACCGGAGCATGGGCTGGTATTGTCACTTCCATGTACCAGATCGGTGGAGTTGTCGCTCTTCCCTTCATCGGTCCTGCCTGTGATACCTGGGGCCGCAGAATTGGAATGATGATTGGTGGAGTCCTTGGTTGCATTGGAGTAATCATTCAGTCGACTGCTCCTGCTTCCAACCCTGTCGGCCAATGTAAGAGACGCCCATATGAGAAGCCCGCCTTGAATACATACTAACCTCTCGCGCCATAATTTAGTCATGGGTGGTCGCTTCCTGCTCGGCTTCGCGGTCCCAATTATGACAACAGCTGGTCCCCTTCACGTTATCGAGACTGCGCATCCAGCTCACCGAGGTGTCATTACTGGTCTTTACAACACTTTCTGGTTCGTGGGATCGCTTCTTGCAGCCGGTGTCACACGTGGATCCGCAAACCTTGCAGGCAACCAATCCTGGAGGATTCCTGTCTGGCTGCAAATGCTGTTCCCAGCCCTACTCGTTGTACTTCCTCTTCTTCTCCCTGAGAGTCCTCGCTGGTGAGTAGCATATTCTTGCTATGTTTCATGCATACCTAGGTAGAATACATATTGATGAGATCTAGGCTGTACACCCGCGGTAAACACTCCGAAGCCAAGAAAACCCTTGCCAAATACCATGGTTGTGGCAACGAGGACAGTATCTGGGTCTCCATGCAAATCCGCGAGTACGAAGAGTACCTCAACATGGATGGAGGTGACAAACGCTGGTGGGACTACGGCGCTCTTTTCAAGACTCGTCCCGCGCGCTACCGTCTCGCATGCAACTGTATCGTTGCTATCTTCGGTCAATGGGCAGGCAACGGGTAAGTAAACCTCCCAGATGCATTGTCAGAAGAAACGATGCTGACTTTGATTGTTCTATCACATAGTGCTGTCGACTACTTCATCTCCGGTGTTCTTGAATCCGCAGGCGTCACGGA